GCGCCACATGCGTGCAGACATGGGCCACTAGCGCCCATGCGTATGCACCCATGGGCCGTTAGCACCCACGCGCATGCACACACGGGCCTCTAGTGCCCATGTGTATGCACTCATGGGGGGCTAGCGCCTGCATGACACTAGTATGTGGAAGGGTGCGCTCACTCGCCATCCATTGCCACGGCCCAGTGGCCAACAGGCTATGGCCATGGCCCACGGCCCACAGGCTGGGGACCCCTGGTCTATACCACGCAGAGTCTTTCTTTCTTTTTCCCCCCTTCCTAAAAGGCAATTTATAAAAACGACTAAAGGAGTAAATTTGGGCTTGGCTGCCTCTTAACCGACGGCTAACTCTAATTATTTCAGGCAGGAGAAGAGCTGGACGGATGGCACAAACAGATTGGGGAGGAGAGACGCTCCTGCAAATGATTTTCTGCCCAGATTTCGGAGTTCCACCTCGCTGGATCTGCGGCCCAAAATAGAACAGATGCACCCAGAGCGTTTCCGTTCTTCCATTTTTATTTTTAAATTATTCCCCCAAGCCTACTCCTTGTCACCCAGCCAAACGCCTGAATCCACGCCAGGAAGCAAATCGCTCCGAGTTGCAACAGCTGTGGTTTTTTTTTTTTTTTTGACCGCGCTAACAAGTTGTAATGGGCTTCAGTGGGTCACCCCAAAAAAGTTTTTGGGGAAATAAGAGAGAGCAGAAATACGTGAACTTTTGGAGGCCCAGAAGCCTGCCAGCTCTGGGCTGGGGTTGAAAGGCAAAGAAAATGATTATTTAATATTACATGTATTGACAGCTGCAAGAATAGTATTCGCCCAATTTTGGAAAAATGAAAACCTACCATCAGACCAGATTATAATTTTGAAAATCCTAAATTGTGCAGAAATGGACAGATTAATGTTAGAGATGAAGGAGAAAGAGGATTCCATCTTCTATAAAACCTGGGGAAAATTTTTATCAGTGGGTTGAAACACGTTAGAATAAGAAGAGATTTTAGAGCTTTATTATATTAAGTATTAAGCTTGATGATTGGAAATGGTTGTTATGCTATCAACTATGTTAATTATTTAAAGGAATATTACTGTTTTACCGAATGTCAGTTGTAACTAGACCGATTTATTCTTATAAATGTCTAGTATTATATAAACAATAATACTCAATATGAAGACCCGGACGACAGCTTGTTCGCTGAATTACGTATTTACTGTAGTTATCCACACCCTGTCCCCTTTATCCCAATTTCCCTGTACCCGCCCCGACCCCATCTTTTTCCCTACCCATATAAAATCTAATAAAATATATTAAAAAAAGAAAGAAAGGGGTCATGGCTACAAAAAAATAAAGATTTATGGAAGGTTTTTCCTCCCCAGATGCTTCTCCTGTCGAGGATCGGATGTGCAACGCAAGGATCAGGTTAGTAGGTTGCAAGGAAAGCAGCGGTGGATCCCAAGGAATCTGTCTATTACAGGGCTGTTGCGGGTTATTGTGCTTTTTGTGTTGAGGTTTTAGCCTTGTAAGCCTCCTGGAGTCACCACGAGTGAGTTGGGCCGCCATAAACAGTAGTCCTTTAAGTCAGGGCTTTTCAACCTTTTCATCCATTGTACCACTTTTAGGATATGGCAATATGTGAGTACCATCAGTCACCTAGCAAGGGGTCAAAAACTTGATGACCCCCCCCCCAAAAGGGAAAAACTGATGAAGTACAGGTAGTCCTCGACTTACAACAGTTCGCTTAGTGACTGTTCGAAGTTACAACGGCACTGAAAAATGTGCCTCCCAAGCCATAGCTGAGCAAGACACCTGCCTGCCCACCCACCCGCGCTCTTCCTCCTGTCTGAGGTTTTCATTGTTGTGAGCATTTCTGTTGAGGATTGGTGGGGGGATGGGGAGGGGTGGGGTGTTTGGTTTTTATTTCCCCCGTCTGCTGGGTGGTTGCAGCAGGTTTTGGTCACTTCACATGACCCTGGGACACTGTGACCGTCCTAAATATGAATCGGTTGCCAAGCATCTGAATGTAAATCATAAGACCCTGGAGAGGCTGCAACATTCCAGCTGATTGGTGCTACTTCAGGGCTCAGCAGAAGTACCAGGATCAGTGCTGAGCTCCAGCTGATTGGTGCTTTTTCTGGGCTCAGCAGAAGCGCCAGGATCAGTGCTGCTTTCCAGATAATTGGTGCTTCTTCAGGGCTCAGCAAAAGCACCAAGATCAGTGCCAAGGTCCAGCTGATTGATGCTACTTCAGGGCTCAGCAGAAGTACCAGGATCAGCGCCGAGCTCCAGCTGATTGGTGCTTTTTCTGGGCTCAGCAGAAGCGCCAGGATCAGTGCTGCTTTCCAGATGATTGGTGCTTCTTCAGGGCTCAGCAGAAGCACCAGGATCAGCGCCGAGCTCCAGTTGGAGCCTGGAGCTGATCCTGGCGCTTCCACTGAGCCCTGACAGCCCTGCAGCTCCATCCGTCTCTTGCTCAGGCTTGTTCGGTGCTGCCACCAGTTCAGCTCATTCACCTTCCCTGCTACCCCTTTTCTAGGATGTTCGCGTACCACCTGCCAGGTGCCAACGTACCACAGGTGGTACCCGTCCCACTGGTTGAAAAGCCCTGTTTTAACTTATGAACGAAGCTGAGCCCAAAATTTCCGTTCCATTCCCCTTGTTAAGTGAGTTTTGCTGCATTTTACCACCTTTCCTGGCACAACATTTTGATGGACAAGTTTAAGGCCCTGAACTTTTTTTGTTAGGCACAGTAGCAGAAAAGATTAACAAACAAAGCCTATATCTGATTTTACACATCACAACAGCGGCCAGAATAATATTTGCACAATATTGGAAAAATGAAGGAATACCACCGGATGAAGAAATAATTAAAAAAAAACACTAGAGCACGCAGAGATGGGACAGATTGATTACGAGACTGAAAGAAAAAGAAGAAACAGAATATTATCAAACTTGGGCTTTATTTTACCGATGGCTAGAGGAAAGATTAAAGGATTAGGAATTAAATATGTATTAGCGCAGTTAAACTCAAGACAGCAGGTTGGTTGAAGAATTATTATTGTATGTATGGGAAAAATGAATAAAATCTGATAAAAAAAGAAGAAAAAGTCAGGTTTAAGGAAATCAAATCTTTGGTGCTTTGGAGAATAAAAGAGGACGAATCTGCAAAGCGCACGGGGCTAAAATCCCAAACTGAAGGCTCGGCACAAGAAGTGCTCGTCTTACGACCACGATTTTTGTTGCTAAACGAGACAGTTGTTCTGCCGGTTTTGCCCCTTTCCTGCCACAATTGTTAAGAGATTCACTGCCGTTGTTAAGTTAGTACACAGTCGTTAAGTGAACCCAGCTCCCCCCTGGATTTTCTTTCTGAGAAGGTCACAACAGGGGATCACGTGACCGTGGGACAGGGCAACCTGAGCAGGGGGTTGGACTAGATGACCTCCAAGGTCCCTTCCAACATTATTATTATTATTATTATTATTATTATTATTATTATTAGTGCATGCCAGTTGCCGAGCAATTTGATCACGTGACCACGGGGGAGGCTGCGACGGTCGTAAGTGTGAAAAAAATGCTCCTAAGTCCCTTTTTTCAGCGCCCTCATAACTTTGAACGGTCACTAAACAAACCGTCGTTAAGTCGAGGACCACCTGCGAAAGCCCTTAAATAAATAACTAAATCCACCCGTCGTGATTTACGTCTTAAAATCCTGCAAGTTCAGGCCCGCAGTTTTGAATTTAAACCAGGCAATTTTGCATTTTTGTGAAGGCCACCTGTGCATTTTTCATTTTTTGCTGGCCAGATAGCAGGCCCCGTGATTTGCCAGGCTGCCCGGAAATAGCAAAATAAATATATATTTCATTTTACGACCGACGTCTCCCGCAATCCTATGGGAATAGGTGGGAAAGAGAGAGAGAGAGAGAGAGAGAAAAAGACGAGCAGTTTCCAAACAGGATAAATAAAATAAAAATATTCCAAGCTGGGTTCAAAGACTCGTTTGCCGCCCAGAGTCCTTGGCCAAGGTGGCTAGATAGAAATCAAATAAATCAAATAAACCAGAATAAAAATAAACATTCCTCCTTTATCCTCCTCGTCCCCTGTCACATATTCTTTTTCCTTATAAGCACAAATGACACAGACTCGTGTCATGCAGAAAAATCTCGAACGCCGTCAACCCTGGCTAGACATTCGTGCTCCCCCAAAGCGGCCGATTCTTTTGCAGTTCATTTCCTACCATTTTCTAAATGGAGCCTGCCTTAATCGTCACTAATCATTCAATGTTAGGTTAGAAAGCTTTAAGGTACCCAGAGAACTTTAAGAGGCAGCTCTGCCCGACGGGCAGCGCGAAAGAAAACGTCTCCGTGCTTTGAAGATGCATTAACAACATTTCTCTTTTGGACTGGGGCAAAGTTAGAGGAACACAGGTTTCAACCAGACTAGAGCTGGAAGGGACCTTGGAGGTCTTCTAGTCCAGCCCCCTGCTCAAGCAGGAGAGTCTATATACCATCTCAGGACCGTCCAGTCTCTTTTTAAAAACCTCCAGTGATGGAGCACCCACAACTTCTAGAGGCCAGTTGTTCCACTGGTTAATTGTTCTCAACGTTAGGAAATTTCTCCTTAGTTCCAGGTTGCTTCTCTCCTTGATCAGTTTCCACTGTTTCTTGACTTGCTCTCTGGTGCTTTGGAGAATAGTTTCACCCCCTCCTCTTCTGTGTGGCAGCCCCTCAAATACTGGAATATTGCTATCGTGTCCTCCCCTATTTCTTCTTTTTTCTAGACTGGCCATACCCAATTCCTGCGTATGTTTTAGTCTCCAGGTATTTTTTTTATTTGTTGCAAAACTTTTCCAAACAAGTTTCCCCCCCCCCACAAAAAAAACTTTTCGAAAAGTTTTTCTTTTGCCCCTGGAGGGTTGAAAATCAGGGGGAAGCCCAGACGCCCCCCCCTCCCCGCCTTGGGCCAGGACTTTGGGATTATTTTTATTTATTTTAGTGTAATGTTTTACCTTCTGCCATGGTGCCTTCCGCTCCGCTCCGCCGCTGCCTGCCTTGGCTAAGTCGCGGAGCCGGCCGAAGACGCTGCGAGCTTGCCTCCGAGCCAGGAGCCCCCTCCCTTTTATAGCCATCCCCTTCCCCTCTCCTCGGCTGGGTGGGTGGGTAGATCACACAGTCATCACGAAAAGGAGACCGGGAGGGGGGGGGTGAGAGAAACGGCAGGGGAGGGCGGTTTCCAGGAAAAAATTAAATGCACCCTTTTTAAAAAAAAAAGAAGAAAAAAAGAGCATTAACACCAAATTAGGCACCAGAGTAGGTGGTGAAGGGGACGTCTGAGCAACGGGCTGGGGGGGGGGGATTCTGGATTCTGCCTGGGGAAAGAGCCCCCCCACCCAGCTGGTTTTTCTGGGCCAGATCCTGGGTGCAGCAAAGGCTGGGAACTGGAGCTGCCCCCCCCCCATCCCACCCCACAGCTGGCACAAAGCCCATGTGTGCGCCTCCCTGGGAACAGGGGACGTTTGAAGCGCTCCTGACGTTGTTTTGGGATGCCCCTGTGCTTGTGTGCAAAGGCTAACAAAAGCGGGGAGGGGGGTGCTCGGCTTCTTGCCCCTTTTGAGGGCTGAGCCCCACGAGAGGCTTATCGGGGAGAGACAGCCAAGCCGGACCCAGACAGGAAGAGGAAAAGCGTGGCCTTCGGCGTGGAGTGGCATAGCCACAGACCGGACCTGCCAACCTACTAAGTCCCTTCTTCGTCTCAAGTCAGCTGGAAGGGACCTCAGGGGTCTTCTAGTCCAGCCCTGTGCTCGGGGAAGGAGACCCTTACAGAAACTGCTCCAACCAGTGGAACAGCCTGCCTCCAGAAATCGTGGGCGCTCCATCACTGGAGGTTTTTAAGAAGAGATTGGACAGCCATTTGTCCGAAATGGTATAGGGTCTCCTGCCTAAGCAGGGGGTTGGTCTAGATGACCTCCAAGGTCCCTTCCAACTCTGTTATTCTGTCTATCAAAGAAAAGGACCAGAGGTGACATAAAGGTAATAGCAGTCTAATAATAATAATAATAATAATAATAATAACAACAACAACGACAACAACGACAACAATGACAACGACAACAACAACACCATTGGCATTGACAAATTCGCTATTAGTCAATTGCAAAAGGCGGCCTTACTAGGAACTGCTTCCATCCTGCGACAATACCTGTAATACCATCAAACATCCACATCTGCCTATCCCAGGTCCTGGGTAAGGACTCGATAGGCAGACAAAATGCCAAATCCAGTCTGAACATCTGGCTGACTGTGCGATGATCAATAATAATAATAATAATAATAATAATAATAATAATTGTAATAAAGTTGGAAGGGACCTTGGAGGTCATCTAGTCCAACTCCCTGCTCAGGCAGGAAACCCTATGCCATTTCAGACAAATGGCTGTCCAGTCTCTTCTTAAAAACCTCCAGTGTTGGAGCATTCACCGCTTCTGGAGGCAGGTTGTTCCACTGGTTAATTGTTCTCACTGTCAGGAAGTTTCTCCTTAGTTCCAGGTTGCTTACCAAGGAGAGAAAATTACCAACTAATCAAAGAAACCTAGAATCAAGTAGAAATTTTGCGACAGAAGAATTAATCAGTGGAACGGCTTGCCACCGGACGTTGTGGGTGCTCCAACACTGGAGGCTTTTAAGAAGAGAATGGACAAACATTTGTCTGGAATGACATAGGGTCTCCTGTTTGAGCAGGGGGTTGGACTAGAGGACCTCCAAGGTCCCTTCCAACTCTGCCGTTCTGGGTTCTAACCCAACATGTGTCCTGACTCAGATAGAGAAGTGGAGAACCAAGAGGCAAAGGTGAAGGGCAGACGAGACGGGGAGGCAGTTTCCATAGACCCTCTAGGGTGGAAAGGCACCCTTGAGGTCATCCAATCCCTCCCCTCCCGGCCCGGTGCAGAAATTGGGGCAAAAAATATCCCTACTGCACGCATCCAGGCGGTCAGGGTTAGAGGGAGGGGGGGTTTCCAAATGGTCACTCAGGTCCTGCCAGTTTAGCACTTAGCTAGTAACCGGGTGGTGACCCGTCTCCTGTGTCGATTCAAGAGGGGGGCCAGCCCGCTGGAAGGACGTCCGCCAGAGGGTGGAAAGGACAGCAGCTGGCAAGGCCCGAATGGGGGGGGGGGAACATCAGGAAAGCCCATAAGTGGGAAACAATGGAGGTGGGAACGTTGTGAACTTCGATTCCGGCACGGAGAGCATGACTCAGAAGCCACGATGCGAAGCAGGCAAAGTGACTCTCTGAACTTGGCTTCCACAGCTGGGTCCTGCCTCCCTCGCAGCTCCCGGGTGAGCCCCCCCCCAAAAAAGGCACAGGCAGAAAAACACGACAGTCGCTCAAGTCCCAGCGGTGGCCTCTGGCTCACTCCGCAAAGCTGGAAGATCTTGGGCGCATCCGGCAAAGCTGGCTACTCAGGGCGCGAATGTTGGCTTGTTGGCTTTTCCCAGAAGAGATGGTGAAGCTCTTCTGTCACAGAAGAGAATCTTTCTAGGATTGAGGGGAGGGGTCTTTGGTGCTCTCTGAGAGATGGGGGAGGTTTTCTTGCAGACGTTTCATGACCCAACTAGGTAACGTCATCAGTGCCAGAAGGGGATTGGGTATGTGGAGTGGAGGAGGAGGGGGGGGAGGAGGAGGGTTATTGCGTCCTGTCTGAGCTTGCTCTTGTCTTGCAGATGTTTTATGACCCAGTTTGGTTCTACTCAACCTTCTAGTGTTGATGATGTTATCTAGCTGGGTCATAAAACATCTACAAGGAAACAACCAACCAATCACAGATAGCACCAAGGATATTACTGTTCTCCTCCTCCTCCTCATCATCCTCATCCTCATCCTTCTACCACTGAAGATGTTCCCTAGTTGGGTAACAAAATGTCTGCAAGGAAACAACCAGGCTCAGAGAGCACCAAGAACACCACAGCCCCCCCTTCCCCCCTCCTCCTTATCATCTCTTCCTCTTCTTCCTTCCTTCCTTCCTTCCTTCCTTCCTTCCTTCCTTCCTTCCTTCCTTCCTTCCTTCCTTCCTTCCTTCCTTCATTCATTCTTACCTTCGTTCTTACCTTCCTGCCTTCCTTCCTCCATCCCTTCCTTCCTTCCTTCCTTCCTTCCTTCCTTCCTTCCTTCATTCATTCATTCTTACCTTCGTTCTTGTCTTCCTGCCTCCCTCCCTCCCTTCCTTCATTCATTCATTCTTACCTTCGTTCGTTCGTTCGTTCCTTCATTCATTCATTCTTACCTTCGTTCTTGCCTTCCTGCTCCTTCCTTCCTTCCTTCCTTCCTTCCTTCTTGCCTTCCTGTCCCTCCCTCCCTCCCTCCCTCCCTCCCTTCTCCTCCCCACAACCCCCGTCCTTTCTCACACTGATGATATTAGGATGAGGTGGCTGTGAGCAGGGAATGTTGGTGCAGGCAAGGGTGTAATGTAGCTGATGTGGCTTTTCTCTCAGGGAACTCACCTGCATTTCTGCACCTGCCCTGCCACTGGGGGGAAACGGCCAGCCACCTGCTCCCCATCCCAGGGCCTAACTTTGCAATGTTTACGAGCTTTGCCATGGGCCATCAGGAAAGAACGTGCACGTTCTACTTCTCCTGCTTCTCACGGGTTGGCAATCCTTGACTGGGCTGGCCAGTCAATGTATGTTGGCTGGACTGGAACTGCCCCCTTCTCTTGCGTGGGCATGGGGCACAGTGCTTCTGAGCATTGATCACATGACCTTATGTTCTTGAGTAGCTGAAACACTGTTATCCTGTCTCCCCTATTTCTTCTTTTATTTAGACTAGCCCAGAGGTTCTCAACCTGTGGGTCGGGACCCCATTTGGGGTCGAACAACCATTTCACAGGGGTCGCCAAACAACGCAGTCCGCCATTTTTTCCCCCTTTTCCTTAGCTGTGCTACTCCCTTTTATTCTATTGGCTTTGAAAGCCAATAGAATAGACTCTCTTGAATAGAGTCTAATTCTATTGGCTTTCAAAAGCCAATAGGAATTGTCCAGGGTGTCTCTGCCCTGCTGAGCCCGCCAAAAGTCCCATTCTGCAAACGGTGCTGCACCAGTTGAGTAGTCCTTGACTTACGACTGGTTGAGTAGTCCTCGACTTACGACCGGTTGAGTAGTTCTCGACTTACGACCGGTTGGGGGTCGCAGCATTAAAAAGGTTGAGAACCACTGGACTAGCCAAACCCAAGTCCCACAGCCGTTCTTCGTATGTTTGACTCTCCAGGCCTTTGATCATCTTGGTTGCTTTTCTCTGGATTTTTTTTTTCCAAACTCTCAACAGCTTTTTTGTGATATGGTGACCAAAACTTGCTGCAGTATTCCAGGTGTGACCTTACTAGGGTTTTATAAAGCGGTACTAATACTCCGTATGATCTTGATACTATGCCTCTGTTTTATATAATCCATGACTGTGTTAGCTTTTTTGGCTGCTGCTGCTGCACGTTGCTGGTTCATGGCCAGGCGATCGTCCACCAGGACTCCAAGGTCCCTCTCACAGTGGCTGTTTTTTTAGCCAGATCTTGCCCAGTCTGTACTTGTACCTTTGGGGTTTTTCCCACCCAGGGGTAAAACCTGGCTTTTCTCCACATTAAATATCATTTTGGTGGACAGGCCCATTGTTCAGGTCTGTCAAGATCTTTTTGGATCCTGAGTTTGACTTCTGGGGTGTTGGCTACTCCTGTCAGAGTCTCTTTCCTCTTTTGGGCACAGCAAATCCCTCCCAGTCCCATCTTCATTTCACCTGTGGCAGTCCTTGAACGGTTCACTTACAACGGCACTGAATAGAAGGGATTTTCAATAGGTCCTCACACTTACGACCGTCACAGCATCCCCATGTGTGTATGTGTGAGTATGTACATATATATATATATATATATATATATATATATATATATATATATATATATGTATTTATAGCATATGTATGTGCATGTATTTGTGTGGATACACACACACACACACACACACACACATATATTTGTCTTGAGTGTTTTTTTGATGCACCGTCGACCCAAATATGGGAGGAAGAAATCTTTTGCCTGTATCAGCTCAATCTAGAGCCGTCCACTCTACTGCGACATCATTTGTGTTTCCTAAATTTTTGGGGATTGCTAACAAAGAATTAAGAGG